GAGAGAGAGAGAGGTCAGTGGGTTATACTCATCGTCTTGTTCGTAATCCCATAAAAGTCAACCGCTGCCTTTCCCGTTGTAGGGAGGAACTACCTTATTAATCATCTCGCGTCTTTGACTCTGCTTCACGTCGCTGATCTGGATAAATTACGGCTATTATACACAAGTTTTCAGCTATAGTTAACAGCAGTGAACAATTATTCTTTTTTCTTACGAAAGACTAGCATCCCAAAATCTGGCGGTCGAATGTTCGGCGATGCATACTTTTGTACTACCTTAGACCGTTCAATGAATGTTCTAAAGTTATTACAACCACAATTTGGATCCGTCGATACTAAGATTTATGTTTCCATTGGCTGTAGGCTACGGTAATATATACGGTCATCAACATTATTAAACTGTTTTTAATCGAAAACAATTTTTTTATTTAAATTATCTCTTTTTAACCTCTACGTCGTTTCATGATAATAATTCAAATTCTTGGAACATCGTGAGTCATTATGAATTATCTTTCTTTTTGCGTCTGAATTGAAAATTCATAACGTGTTATTTGTATTGGGTCAATTTTTTTTTCTAGATAGGTTTAGTTCCCGAGAAAGCTATTTATTTATTTCTAACACTGACCAAAGCTCGGTTGCCCAGAGGTATTAAGTAAGCGATAATAAACAATTATACGCTTGGCTGATTATAATTATCTCTTCAATAAACAAACAATGTTTTGCGACTTTGCACTCCGTCGTTATCTAAACTTCCATCGATTTTGACTTTTATAAATTAAATTTTCATTATCTTTTAGACTAATGTCACACTACACGTCGTCATTCAACAGTTCATAGTTCAATTGTGCGTATTGTGTTAGTCGTGCGTCTGTATAGTAGTAGTAGTAGTATAACTTAAACATATCTCATAGGAGTAGCCCCTACGAGACACGTTTTCGCTAAGCTGTATCTATAGTTGCGTAGTCAATTTTTTTCATTTTTCTAATAGTAAATTGTCAGCTGCTGATTTTATTTCCCGGTCATGGTACTCCTTACTTTATTCCGCCATAAGCAAGGTTCATTTCTATATAATTCTATAAACTCTGCTAACCACTGTCTTTGCGTCATTTTTCTGCGTATGCGAAGAGGACAAATATGTACAGACCAGTTTCCTTTTCGCGATCGCAACACGACTGAAGGACCACCGCCTACGCACGCACAGTTTTAACTGATCAGTTCAGTCATTTCAGTTAAATAATATGTATCAGCAATATATCATTAGTTTTCTGATAACAAAAAACTGACAGTTTTCATCGTACACACACTCAGTTTTCACTGTCAGTTAAACTGACAGTTAAAAGTGATCGCGTGTAGCCCCTATCAAAAAATTACTACTTGTACAACCAAATTTTTTAAATTTAAAATTAAAGCATTTATTAAATGTCATATAGGCCCTGATTTTTAGCCTTGACCATGATTTGAACGAAACTACTTTTATGGATTTTATTGAGTTTTATTTACGTATTCTATAGAAAATAAAAACGTAGAAACGATCGTATAGTTCAACGTCCAAACAACCGTCTCACACGTCGGTCACCTCGTGAGTTAGGTCCCGATAGTTTGTCTATCTGTTTTAACTTCTTTTTATTATTTTGGAGTATTTATATAGTATTCTCATCTGGTTGAACAGTATACATATTACGATAATATAAAATAAAATATAGCCACCACACCTAGTAAAATAAATAAATAAAAATCAACCAGATGGAATCCTAGCACCGCACCGGTTAGTCTCACTTGCAAATGGCGCAGGGCCTTGGGACAGCTACAATTAAGGGGAAATATTACCTTAAATGGCTTAGCAAGATCCTCCGTTATGTCGAAAATATTGCAGCATTAATTTTGAAATAAATATATGGTAAAGTTGAGGATGAGCTTGTTTCTTCCAAGCTTCAAGACGCCGATTTTCTTTTTACAGTGAAAATAATGGTAATTAAAAAAAATAAAAACATTAGCCCTGCTTTATTGTTAGTTCAGTTAGTATGCAAAGTTTCATGATCTTATTTAAAGTATTTTATGAATAACAGCGGTTTAGAGGTAACAGTTGGAGGTAACTTTGGATTTTTTTCTATCGAGAAAATTTTACGGAATCATGTTTTCGTCTAACATAGTACTTAACATTAATCCTCAACTTTACTATATATTTATTTCAAAATTAATGCTGCAATATTTTCGGTATAACGGAGGATCTTGCTAAGCCATTTGAGGTTATATTCCCCCTTAAATCGCTAAAACCCACCAGACGGCAACCCTCAGCAGTGGAGTTGTCGTCTAGTTGGGAGACCTGTCGGTAGGCGATTAAGGGAGAAAGGTAAAGAACAAGGCAGTTTCCAATTTTCCAGAGCTACTGGTGTAGATTCCTGGTACTAGATTTCGTCTGTGCAAATATTTGGAGATAGAAAGCGCCGAACAACCGGAGATGATATGCCTAGGTGACTAGCTTGGATGGCGACAAGCTCGATAGATGTCGACAGTGGCATCCTTACACTACGGTATAGGTGTACTTTGTATAAATTCGGAGCATCTTTTTACGGGAAACGATTTTTACTTTTAGATATTCAATATATTGGTACGCGCTTAAATATAAGGAATCATTACGCCTATGATTTTGTTGATCTTGGTACTTAAGTACTTTGTGAAGTTGGCTAGATTTATTTGTAACTTTTCCTATTTTGGTTCTATTGATCTCATGACCAAGAATAAGTTCGTCTTAGAGTTATAGTTATATCCATATATAAGTCCATCACTGAACATAGGCCTCCCCCAAGGAATGCCACAAAACACGGTCTTGAGCCACCTGCATCCATTGACCAAGTAGTCACTTCATGAATTAAAAAATAATAATTTTAAGGTTGTAATTAATAAAAATGAATTATATTCAACACTGAACATATTGTATCATTTGTACATAAATTTAACTGTACGTTCAAGGTCAAATCCCTCAATCTTCACTGAAAGGCGTAGGCGTTCTGGAGTTATTCTATTTTATATAATTTTCAAACCAGATTCTCGTCAAGATAAATGAATAGCCCCGGTTCCGTTGCATCGATACCTTTCAAACTTAGTCTATGAGAGCCATCGATTAGTTGTTAATCTTGTAATTGGAGATACATCTTTAATCCAAACATTACTGATACTGGTATTTTATAGGGCCTGCTAGCCTGTATTCAGCCAAAAATTCTCCTAAAAAGGGCTTTAAACGCTTTAAGGTATTTATCACACCAACCGGTATAATCACAAATTTTTTCTTTCGTTGTGAATCGTCACTAATTATTTACTAAATCTTGGCATTATAATATTCAGGATATCGTTGGAGAGAATTCTATGTTCAGGAACGTCAGAATGCTAACATTTATTAATTACTAATAATATCCTCCAGACCGAATTTTAGTAACGGCAGTCGGACTCAACGGAGACAAGCCATCTGCACAGGACAGGATAATAGTGCACGAGTGTATGCGCAAGCTCAGGTGCGCTTTCTATTCCCTCACTCTCATAGTCCGACGGGACGGAAGTCCGCACGACTAGAGAGAAATCATGCGCAGGACCAAAAATACCGCTTTACATGCTTTCCAAGGTTTTACGAGGTGGAAACAGCGCCTACTTTCTCACTCCGGGACACAGAGAATTTCTTAATAAAAAACCTAACAACAGATTTTAACTTAACCCATGATTCATACCTAGAACCTCATGATCGTCGCGACTATACCACTGACTACACAGTCAAATTACTTATGAGACTATGAAGTAAAAAGTTATTTGTTTATTAACATCTTGCATCTTAGTTTCACGTCACATATTATCTGTGTCCTTAAACTGACCGATTCTTCGGTGGCGTCCATTCACCGGAGATTCGGTCATCTTACACAGTTAAATAATCAGAGTTGCATTGATATCTGGGGGAATATCACGAATACCACGGCTTATTTCATAATTTATATCTGCGATGCGTAACATGATCTAGAGTTGCAAGAAAGGATAGATAAACGCCCGACACAATCCGAATCAATTTAGCAGGTTTGGTATCGCAGATTCTTTAATCCTATTGCGATTGCTATGTTATTCATAAAATTTCAACCGACCTGGTGTCACATGCTTCGTATAACGTAGAATATTTTGTATCTACGCGCTAGGTGTCAAAAACCATTGAAACTATATCTATATATTGAAGTATATAATACTATAATATTGAAGTATAAACGTTGTGTTAATAAAACACCTTTAATTAAATAAATATCATAAGAAAGCAATTTTTTTTTTGGAATGCATTTACTTACTAACAACATGAAAGTGTAATGACACATTATATTACGAAGTTAACTAATTTTAAATTAATATTTAAATAAATATTTCAATGAAAATATTAAGTAATAACAAAATTTAAGGCAACTTTTTATGTTTTAACTTTTTTATGTTATAACTTTTTATGTGTTTGTTTTTAAAAGTCTATTAACAAATAATCTATCGTATAGTGGTGGTGTAAAAATATACACTACTCCATATCGTCCCGTGAATGTCGTAAGACACCACCAGATTTAAATTAAAACAGGAGATGGGCAGCAGCATCTTCCTGATAACTTGTGGCGCGATGACAGCATCGCCACAGACTCAATAAAAACTGCCCTTTCCAATCCGTCTGCCAAGCGTGGCTACTATGGCACAACTATGAGGTAATTTATGGGGTAGACTGTATGTTCAGCGGTGAACCTTTATAGGTTGTAATAGAAAAAAAAATACATGACAAATACATATTTTAATATATTATATTTCAGAAAATTCTGTTAGTATAGTTATAAGTTTTTCTATTTGGACAAACATAGTTAGTCATTTGATTTCTTTTTTAAACTGTAGTTGCATTTAGTCTTAAAAAAATGAGATCAAATTTTTATTAGTTAATAATTATTGTTTACGATAAAAAGATCATAATTAGTTATTTTACAAATTCAAAAATTTTATACATACCTTAGTAAAATGGGTCATAACTGTTACGTGATGTTGTCTCTTAGCCAGTGCTTCAATGAGGCGACCGTACATAGCATAGTGACTTCTGGTGTTAGTGGGCAGCACAGCGAGAAGTCGTGCAGCGTGCGCCGCCGCCGCACAGAGAGCCACCACATAGAGCAGCCGCGCCTGCATCTCACTGCCGTCTGTCGAAGATTGCCTGCCTTCCCTTGCTTTACCTACGAATGCCATTTGAACCGATAAGGACTGACGTCACCCCTAAGATCTATGCCATACTTTTCTCTGTGCTCTTTTAATTATCGACTACAAGACTATCAGTCGGCAGATATGCTCTTTACCTTTTTTTTTAATGCGTCTCCGTATTTTGAGTATAATTTCTAAATAGAGAGCGATGATAGAGGGCTATTTAGTGTGTTTATGTGAGTGATTTAATTGTAAATGTTTTTTTTTTTTGATATTGCTTTGTCTTCGGTCTTATGTGAGTATTCTTGTCTGTTTCTGATAAAAGTTAACTTATTACTTTAATAAGACTTCAGAAAACCACCAGAGTTTAGATATATTTTTTTTATTATTGTTCAAATTTGACTTGAATGAACATTTCAATAGTTTTAGTATTGAAATAGAAGAATTCATCTAGTACAAATTCTACAAATTAATTGCTATTGCAGCAAGTGCGGCTCTTACAGCGCTCTCGTAGCCACTCGTAATAAATGAGACTTTGAGACTCAGAGTTGAAGATTGTCAATCAGATTTATTATTTCTTAACCAACCCGTGCGAGGTTTTATACACCCTTTAAAAGTAAGTTTCGATAACTTTTTAGCAATATATTGCTATTTTGAAGCACCCAAGATGCTACAACTAGAAACAGTGAAAGAGCAAAAAATATCGTAACATTTTCAAACATCTATCTATTGAAGCACTGTGTTTTTTTTCCTTTTTGACCCTACGAGGCCCAACGAGCAGCGTATACCTCTCGTAATAGACAATCTATGGTGGATACCTATGTCAGCAGTGGACTTAAGATGAATAAAGTTCATGAAAAAACTTTTAACTCACGTTATTATTAACAGTAAATAGCATGTTATATACGTGGTAGGTAGAGCCGTGCTGCTGCTATATTAATAGTTGTAGCACGAATAGGTCGGCTCGACCGGGGAGGACCACAGAATACCAGCGTAAAATAGAAGCGTTAACTGCTGTGTTTCGTTTGATGATTGTAAAAAAACTGGAGACACCTTTTACTGGAAACGGGGCATTATATATTAGTCGTCACGGGTGACAAAGCATATGCATTTTGATACGTAGTTGAGGATAGATGCAGATGTCTATGGGCCGCAGCAACTACTTACCATCAGGTGGACTGCGTGCTCGTATGTTACCTTATCATATAGGTTGCGAAGTTATTATTAAACTACTCTTTTCCGCTAAAAAATCTAATCTAAAAAAATATTTACTTTTCTATGAATACAAGAATTATTTTTATCTATTTCTTGTTATTCTATTGACAGTTTCTAATGAAAAGGGTCTTCAGTTCTTTACACTCACCATATGAAACACAGTAGCATTAAGCTGCTATTATACGCTGGTATTCTGTAAGAGCGTAGTCCTTCCACATTCGAGCCTACACATTCGTGCTACAACCATAATGTAGCTGTACCACGGCTCTATCACGTTCTTTTTGTGTACGAATGATAATGGAACATTGTCTTAAGTACAGGACCTGCTGCTGCTACTGTGTTTGATCCATTAAGAACTACATATTTATAATAAACATGAGTTATTTTACTGTACCAACAATGTACCTTACTGAAAGTCCAACTTTAGATGTTTCCGTAGTGTACTACGAAATGTAATTACTATGTGCGCTTAGAACTCACTTAAAATAATCTCCTTCAGATCGAATTTTGACTACGGTCACTAGGCTCTACAGAGATTACTCATCTGCGCAAAACAGAATTATTCGTCATCATCATTTATCATTACAGCCCTTCACAAGCCCACTGCTGAACATAGGCATCACTCAACGAATGCCACAAAGCACGGTCCTGAGCCACATGCATCCATCGATTTCCTGCATGTCTTACGAAGTCGTCACTCCATCTAGTGCAGGGACGCCATACACTCCGCCCGCCGGTACGGGCCTGTCACTCGAGAACCTTTTTTCCCCATCGGTTATCGGTTCTTCGAGCTAGGCCGGCCCATTGCCACTTCAGCTTACTAATCCGTTGGACTATCTCGGTCACTCTGGTTCTACTCCGAATGTCCTCATTCCTAAGTTTATCACGTAAAGAAACTTCCAGGATAGCCCTCTCCATAGCTCGCTGAGCGACTGAGCTTCCTCATATGGCCGCAGTGAAACTCACTCTATATGAGGAAGAGGAAGGGAAACTCAGTGAAGTCATCACTGGCAACACGCACTGGTTGTACAATCTAGTTTTGAGGTATGCTTGACGACAAGATGTGTCCTAATCTCCCGAACGCTGCCTAGGCGAGTTGAATCCGTCGATTGACCTCTCGGTCGAAATTGGACTTACCTAGCCGAACTACTTGTCCCAGGCAAGCATACTCGTCAACAACTTAGAGCTTAGTGCTCCTAACAACCACCGGTATAGGTGTGACATATACATTACACATGACTTTTGTTTTGTCCATGTTCATCTTAAGACCTATCTGTTAGGAGACACTATTAAGGTCATTGAGCATAGTGCTAAGGTCCTCCAGCGATTCTGACATAAGAACTATATCGTCGGCAAATCGAAGGTGAGTGATGTACTCGCCATTGACGTTAATACCGTATCCTTTCGAGTCCAATAGCTTGAAAACGTCTTCCAATGCAGCGGTGAAGAGTTTCGGGGATATTACGTCACCCTGTCTTACACCTCTCTGCAGTTGGATAGGTTTCGTACTCTGGTTCTGTACTCGGATAGCCATCGTAGCCATACAGGTACAAACACTTCAGTACTTCGATATACCGACAGTCCACTTGTCACCGATGAAGCGACTGTGCAGCACCGTCCAAATTTCGACGGAATCAATGGATTTCTCATAGTCCACATACGCAAGACAAAGTGGCAGATTGTACTCTTCGGACTTCTGTACAATTTGCCGTAGGGTATGTATGCGGTCTATAATGCTAAAGCCATTTCGGAAAACGGCTTGTTCGGGAGGCTGGAAGTCGTCGAATCTGCGTGCGAGACTCGATGGAAGTAGTGCCACCATGGAGGACGAAATTGAAGAGTTTCTGAAGGATTTTAAGTATCGGTTTTTCAGAAGCTCCGCTGTAATACCATCCTCGCCCGGAGACTTGTTGTTTTTAAGAGGTGAAATCGGCAATTGTGAAGTTGAACTTGTAACCAATTGGAATACGCATTTGTATGTAGTATGTGTTGTATGTTGTATGTGTTGTACACACATATATACGTTTGTATGCTTTGAAAATTCAAGGTACACATGAGGCAGTCTGTTTTTCATTGTATATATTTGTCCTACTTTATAATTATTAGATATAGTGTATACTTTGTTTACCATCATGTATCTCCACAATTGGTATCATAGTATGTTTTTAAATTCCTAACTGTGATCTGTGCAGTACAAACTAGGAAAACTTACCTGTGGTATATTTGATATTCATTAGCTACACTTTTAATAAAATATCCATAAGCTTATTTGATCTTTTATTTTCTTCTATTTGTTCTTTTATTTGACTACTACTACTATTTCTTCTTTTATTTGAGCTTTTTATTTGATCCTAAAGAAATTTGGTCATCTTAAGGCAAGGATAAAAAAAATACATTAGGGAGACAGATTATTAGAAAGATAAATTAGTATTTGAAAATTTCACTTTTTCTAAATTATGATCAATCTAAGCATTTGACTGTTCTGAAGTTAGTTTCTGTTGAGAATAACTAAGTGACTATTTTTACCACTGAGTACAGAATCGCCGCACCGCCGCTACGGCTTACTACGACGGAAAACGAGGGTGACACTGAAAGTTCTTAGAAAATCAAAAACCTTATTAGTTTTATTATATCTTTATAAAATAGTGTCCATTTACATCAATATATCGCTGCATCCCATGGAACCACTGAGAAAAGCACATTGCCAGTTGTTCTTTTATTTTCGGAAATAAATAAAAATCGCAAGGTGCGGGATCGGGGCTATAGGGCGGGTGACCCAGTAATTCCACGTCTGACTTTTTTAGTCTCTATTATACGCCGCACAACACTGAAGTTATTTCTTCTCAGCTTCTGTCGTCGCCGTAGATTACCGTCCCTCACGCAGATCATCGGTAAGATTAGTGCGACCATTTTTAAACTCGTTAAACCAATTGTAAACAGTGGCACGAGATAAGGCTTCACGGTGAAAGGCTCATCAAAATCTATCATAACTTTCTTGTTGTAATTCAACATCAAATGACATGGAAAGTCAAAAAATTAATTTTGCGGAAATTTTCTTGCGTTAAATTCATGCTGACGTGACACAGACAATTTTCTATGTGTCGCCAAATCGTAAACAAATGACAAATTAATAAAATACATACACAATAATATTGACAGAGTTCCATTTTCAAAATTTGAACTTATTTTTTATTACATCGCTTACAAGTGGCCAGTTTTAAAAACTTTAAGTGTCGCCCTCGTAGCACAAAAATGCTAATTCTTGCTAACATATAATAATTTATATGCATTGTGTATGTAATAATAAATTTAATTATTTGATTTGTTACTATAATAATATGTTGTCTATTGGATTGTTTAGATAAACGTAGCTTTGATTATTATGTAATTAATATCATATTTCTCAAGTGGTAATAATTTACTCCGGCTACCGTCAATTTAGATTCCCTGCCAATTTTCGATGTGAATTCTATTTTACTATAATGATATTGTTTTGGAAAATCAACTCAACATAAACTCGGCCTACAATTTATATCCACTGTATATATCTACAATTTACTTTAGAATCAAAATGCGTTCACACCCCTGATAACTAAGATGGAATATCTCGTTACTAGTAAAAAAGTTTGATAAAGCAACAAATCTTGGTCAGAAAAATAATACGTCACCAAGCTGTATTAGTCATATACGGCCATTATTTTTTTAATTGGTACTCATTATCAGCCGTTGTTATTGTCGATAGTTCTTTCATAAAAATAAATATATTGCGCCATTGTTGCAATTATAATCTATTTTCTTAAAAAATTTGTATTCCAGTCCGTTTAAGCGGAATTTTTTTTATTATTGTTGTTAATTTTAAATAATTCAATTGCTAAATAATAATTTAAAAGCTTTAGGCCGTATTCAGTGCTCTCCTGACGGTCGGGACTGACGGTCAGTGCGTACGCACGCACTGACCGTCAGTCGGCTTTATGCATTCAGTGCTCCACTGACCACCGTACGGAACAGCAGGGTATAGTCGTGATGTATCCGTTTATAAATTGTTTAATTACTCTTTACTATTTGAGGCGATTACGAATGAAAAAAAAACGAAGAAGATATCACGTACATCCAGTTATTGCTAACAGGCTACTTGAAGGAGAATTCAGTACTCTGTTTTCAAAACTTAGAAATTATAATGAAAAATTCTCTGATTATTTTGGGATGTCAGTAAAAAGTTTTGATGAACTGCTGGCAAGAATTCAGGATCATATTAAACATCATAACATGTTTAGGATTCCAGTACGACCCGTTGAAAGACTTGCTGTGACATTGAGGTAAGATAAAATCGAAAATATTTTCGTAGTCGGGTGCTATTCCACTCATCAAATTTCTTTGATCAAAATATCAGTGCATTTTTCTAATAATATCAACATAAAAGTCAGCTTTCTCTTTTTGTTGGATAAAATTGATGGGTAGAATGGCTGGCACCCTTACATAGAGTACTTTTAAATATGAAATTAGAGACCTTTAAATATGAAATAGGCAAATTAAACATGTTTATGTGCTAAGTTTAATAAGTTTAATAAGTAATTTAGGTAATACAATCAGTTAAGTAATTTAGGGAATGCAATCAGTATTATCAGTATCATGTGATTGTCAGTCATTGCTTAAAATTAATATACTGAGACAAATCAGATGATGGGTTTTCCAAATTTTGTGATGTGCTCGTATAAGCGAAATTACGATTAGTTGTCACTACGTTTTGAAACGAAGGTTCTTCAACTGAATACAAAACTATGTCTCGAGATCCTGGTGATGGTATATTGAAGCTGGAAGCAGACAAAGATGTGATTACCGAATTTTGTGATGTATGTGCGATATTTGGATTAGTTCTCACTACATTTTGAGACGAAGGTTCTTCAACTGAATACAAAACTATGTCTTGAGATCCTGATGGTAGAGATTCTGGTGATGCTATATTCATGCTGGAAGTAGAAGATTCAGGGCGAGAGGTAGATGCATACATTGGTGAAGCAAGAGGAGTGATAGACGAAGGGCAGTTACAAATTTCCAGGGCTTTATTCATTACTGCAGTACGGAACATAACTTTTTGACGATTGTCGAATGTCCGTGTTAAAGGTAAAAGAGAATAAAAAAATGCCATATCGTCATTTTGAATAATTTCGCTGTTTTTTGTTAAAAACTCCAAGATGTTTTTATCGAAGTAGCTGTCTTCATTAGTTTTTGCGTTTTTACGCTTCCTTGATGGGTTTGTGTTAGGAGTAGAGCTAGATTGTTTAGTTGTGTTTGAAGAATCTTGTCTAACTTGGCTGGAACACTGTGGTTGGGTTTCTGGATTGGTGGATACTGTTTCAGTAGAACGTGGATTGATTGGAGACTCTAAATTTGAATCTTGTTTTGTATCTTCTCTTGTTTCATTTTCTTCAATAGAATCTTCGGTGTCGGCAACATGTTTTTTGTCAAGAAACTGTAAATGTTTGAAAAATACGTATTTGGTTCTCTTTCCGCCTTCCGATCCCGATTTCACAGATTTCATAGAATTTTTGCATCTCATGTAAGCATCTCTCGCAGTTCTCCATCTTTGTTGTACACTTTTTTCTGTAAATAATAAATAAAAAAAATTGTGTTTTTTGTTCCAGGTACTTAAGAACTGGACAAACGTTTTCGGACTTACATTTCAGTTATCAACTTGGCAAATCAACTATTTGTCTCATTGTTCGAGAAGTTTGCCTGACTATTTGGAATGTGCTTCACAGTGAATGTCTTTCGCTCCCTAGGTTCCCTGAAGATTGGCTTAAAATTGCTTCAGGATTTGAGCAGGTTGCCAACTTTCCGAATTGTGTAGGATGCCTAGATGGCAAACACGTGAGAATTGTTTGTCCCGAAAAGAGCGGTAGCTTATTTTTAAATTACAAGAAGCATTTTTCCATCAATCTACTAGCAATGTGTGATTCAGAGTATCGTTTTACATATATACATGTTGGTTCGTGTGGGTCAGACTTTGATTCAACAATTTTCAAGAATACTAGTTTGTACACAAAATTACATAATGGAGAACTAAATTTACCAAGTGCTAAGCCATTACCTAATACCACTGAACCAATGCCATATGTGCTAATAGGCGATGGAGCGTTTGGAATATCGAATAAAGTCTTAAGACCTTATGTTCGCAGCAATATGACACATAAAAAAGAAAATATTTAATTATAGATTAAGTCGGGCGAGAAGGTACATTGAATCGACGTTTGGAATAATGTCCAATAAATTTAAAATATTCCAACGCTCAATAAATCACTCACTGCCGAATGCTATTAAACTTGTTAAAACCTGTTGTATTTTGCACAACTACATTAGAGAAAGAGATGGCTATAAATTTGAGGATACGCTAACTATTGAAGGATTTCAAAATAATACCAACACTAACAACATCTCGGTTGTCAGATCCGGTGATGTTTTGAGAGATAAATTTGCTAATTACTTTGTTTCTGAAGTTGGCGCAATTCCGTGGCAAGATGATTCTATATTTTGATTGTTATTATTTAGATACTTGTATATTCAATAAAAAATATTTTTAATAAACACATTTTTTTACTTACCAAAGTCTTTTTTATCATTCTCAGACAAATCATTAAAATCGGGCAAAAGAGCTTTATACACTCCAAACCATGCTTGAAGCTTGGCATCTTTATCTTTGAATAAATCGTGAGATAGATCCCACAAAGGTGGTCTTATTCGAACTTCTGTTATCACACGTTCAGTGTCGATGTTATGTTTCGACATGATTGTACACGCTAACGTCCGTTCGAGTCCCGCTTCCGCAACGCAATAAATGCTCTGAAGCATTGCATAGCGCGTCAGTCACCTGACGTACGCAGCACCGACGCGCTCGACTGACCGTCTCTGTCAGTATTGCGTATGCGGACGCGGTCAGTGCTGCTCTGAATGCACGCATGGTTTCTATGGCGATAGCTACGGCAGACTGACGTCAGTCCTGACCGTCAGGAGAGCACTGAATACGGCCTTAAATACATGTCTATATCATCATGTCCGACATAGCCCAACGGATTAGTAAGCTGAAGTGGCAATGGGCCAGTCATGTAGCTCGAAGAACCGACAACCGATGGGGAAAAAAGGTTCTCGAGTGGCAGCCTCGTACCTGTAGGCGTAGTGTAGGGTGACGCCCCATTAGATGGAGTGACGACCTTTTAAGACATGCAGAAAGTCGATGGATGCGGGTAGCTCACTTGAGAACCGACAACCGGTGGGGGAAAAAGGTTCTAGCGTGGCAGCCTCGTACCGGTAGGCGTAGTGTAGAGTGACCACCCACTAGATAGAGTGACGACCTGGTAAAACATGCAGGAAGTCGATGGATGCAGGTGGCTCAGGTTCGCACTTTGTGGCATTCATTGGAGGAGGCCTACATTCAGCAGTGGACTTGTGAAGGGCTGTAGTGATGATAATGATGATGATGATGTATCTTCAACTCGTAACGCGCAATGGCAGCGTAAAAGAATCTACTACTCGATATCATTATTATTTTATGACTTATTATGCCGACTTCTTTCTGATCGGCTCAAGAGATTTTTTCGTATTGCTCGTAGTCTTTTATGCACCCCCTGTGGGTGTCCCTCACTTTGTTTCGTGAGGGAACAAAGTGAGGGACACCCACGGAACAATATGAGGTAATTCTCTTTCAGCACACAACATTAAATATCTTGATATACATTAAAATTGTCTGAAGCAATAACCCTAAGCATAAGTCTATTGTTCCACGCCGCTCAAATTTTTATAAACTTGAACTTTTCATCAGTTACTATTAGCAATCACTACGCTATTCCGTGTTTTGATTGTGATAGTATTGTGTAACGTAATATAAGATATTACGCTATTATTTTTAAAGCCGATACTGATACATACATCGAAACCAAACGTCAAACAAACAAATCGAAGCCAACCAGTTCCATGCAAAGTGACACAATATTAAAAAATTAAAGAAATAAATATATTAACTTCGGCCTCTCAGTATATCTATGAAAATTTGATGTATGTTTACAAAAACAAAGGTAGTTTTAGTAAAAAAAGAGTGATATACACTATAAACACTAGGAACAAACACAAGCTAGTGTTACCAGTTTCTCGACTCCACAAAGTCAGTAATTCATTCTTGGGGCAATGTATACGCTATTACACAAAAGTCCCAGAAAATATACAAGATCTCTCTATTACCAAGTTTAAATATTTAATTAAACAAAAAATGTATAAAAAGGGTTATTATGATATAAATGAGTACATGGTTTATATAATAACCCCTGGGAATGAGGTGGTCGCTTCCAAGCTGTTTCTAAAATAAATTTTCTAAATATTTTGTGGCCATTGACATTGTAAAATTTACTTTTAAAAAAAGTCTCGCTGGGTTTCTTGCTGGTTCTTCCCAGGACAGAGGTTTTTTTTTCGAACCAATGGTAAGGTAAAAAAATTACTTAATAAGAACTATAATAATAATTAAGAAGAACTATAGGGCCATTTCGATACTCTCAGTCTTTGGGAAGGCATTTGAATCGTTGGTTTGCCCGGTCTTGTCCTATCACATAAAGCATTTAATTTCTCCTTGCCAATCAGGATTTTTGGCATCTCGCTCAACGGTAACTAATTTGATCCCGTTTGTGGATTTTGTTTCTAGCTCCCTTGATTCCCGTATTACTGTAGACACCATATACACCGACTTTAGTAAGGCTTTCGATTCAGTTGATCACAAAATTTTACTGGGTAAACTTTCTCGTTTGGGTGTGTATGGCAGCCTTCTGGAATGGTTTGAATCCTATCTTTATCAACGCAAGTCGCACGTTGTGGTTAATGGCTACGCATCGCATTCCTTTCAGCCAACTTCCGGCGTTCCACAAGGTTCGCATCTGGGTCCAATCCTCTTTAATATATTTATTAATGATATCGTGGGTATCTTTGATCATGCTGCTTGTTTCCTTTACGCTGATGATATGAAACTGTCTATGCAGATCGGAGGTATTAATGATTCATTGCTATTACAGGAGGATCTAGATCGACTCGCTGGATGGTGTAGGGAGAACAGGTTATATTTAAATACTGAAAAATGTAAATTTATCAGATTTTCGAGATGCAAAACGAATTTGTCGCCGTCCTACAATATTGCCGGTCAAAAATTGCAAGAGGTGGACTCTATTCGCGATTTGGGCGTCATTATGGATAAAAAATTACGTTTTCACAAGCACATTGACCAGGTCGCAACAAAAGGTTTCCAGATGCTAGGGTTTGTGCTGCGGAATGCAATGGAATTCAAAAAGCCCTCAACAAAAGTTCTCCTGTATTTGGCATTGGTTCGTTCGGGTTTGGAATATTGTAGTCAGGTTTGGTCCCCACATTATGAGGTTCATATCAGGCGAATCGAGCGAATACAGAAGAGATTTCTCTGGCACCTATCCTACCAATCTAACAAAGCGAAACTGCTGCCCTCATATAAGGAACGTCTTGCCTATTTTAAAATGACTAGCCTACAAGGGCGAAGATTGTTTTTGGATCAATTGCTTTTTTATAAGATTATCAATGGCCTCATTGACTGCCCTGCGTTATTGCGATCTGTCAATTTTAATATCCCATACAAGTTGCCGCGTTGCGTACGTTACGTTCCATTCTCACCAAAAGGTGCCAAAAGTAGCTTAGGTCACCATGCCACCATGAATCGCTTACAGAGACAATACAACTTAATATCTAAGTCTTACAACATCGACATCTTTTCTGACAAGCCGTTGAAATTTAGACGCAAGCTCGGTCAGTTTCTCAAGTCAATGGTGTCTGTTTGATTCAAGTATCTATATCTATTGTTTGATTTTTTAACATATAAAAATAATGATTGTTAAATGATGATTAAAATGTTTTAAGTAGTCATTTGCTTAGTGTTAACTAACCTATTTAAGTTTTATTTGCATAGTCCACATTTGCATGCCGTGGCAGCCTATAATTAAGATGACGCTTAGCTTTAGTTTGATATTCATGTTACCTTAAAATCCATGTATTAAGTGTTCGTCTTGTTGGTTGTCCTTTTAAATAAAAAAAAAAAAAAAAAAAAAAGAATTACTTGTAAGCCATATTAAATAAAAAATTACTCTATTCAATCGCACTGCTTATACGTCTATGTTACGTGTATACGTTTTATGACTATGCTTAATATCAATCATCTACTTGAAACACTCGAAGAAAGTTGTTACAGGTGACGGGCACCAAGGTGATGTTTTCCGTTTTCCTAAATAGCACGAAACGCTAAAAAAATATACCTCGACATCGAACTTAACCGTGTGTAACGATGTAAACATATCCATTACCCCGTATCTTCCTGTGGGTGTCGTATGAGGCGATGGAGTCAAACTGGAGCAGGAGGTGGCGGCAGCGTCGTCTTAATAACAACTCAAAATTATAAAAATCTGCGGCTGCCGACCCCCATGCCCACCATGGCAACTAAGCCAAAGGTCCTCCCTGTGAGGCAATCTATGGCTCTTCCATATGCCATCAGCAGTTGACTTTTAAAGGCTGGAATGGCTGGATAAAGGTACAATTGCGTAGCCGACTGCAGACAGCAGCAGCAAGCGACGGGTCGTCGCGACACAACTGGTTTCTATGTAGTTCCATGAAATACGTTCCGTGGCTAGCGACACGTCGTTTGCCTAGCGGCAGACGACACTGTAGCACGACGGCAGATCGGCAGATTAGTATAGTAGTGCCGCCAACGTCCGAGTGACAACAAGGTTGATTTTTTTTTTAAATGAGTCGCCAAATTCGAGGAAGAGAAACTGATGAACTAGGTGGCATAATATCCCGCACTGTAAGTTCTCACTCACTTCGTCTGCATTTCAACATAAGACTGTGTGTCTTTTAGTTTTTTCTTTTTATAGTTCTATAATAAAAGCAAGTCACCATCATCTTCTTCCTCTTTTAACAAAAGATACAAAAATAAATCGCGATCGCTAATTTCAAACACGTCAGACATCATGTCTGGCTGACTGGACACGGGCTCTTGTCGTCTGCAGTCGGGTTCGGTATCATGACTGCGGCGACGTGACGCCACGACACGTCGCCTGCTGTTGCTGCCTGCAGTCGGCTGCGGAATTGCAGCTTAATGAATGGTCCGACAAGTACTCGGAAATATGAGGCACCGACAGAACAACAGCATTGTAGCTGTGACAACGCAACACTGCTATCACAAAATAAAGCTCTCTTTTTGTTCTGCTATACTGCAGCTACTGTAGCATGCTGAATCGGATGCCGTTTTGTTGCTGCAATCCAATCTATTTGTGTTTATTGTTATTTTTGTTGTGTTCGTTGTTTTAATTTCTTTGTACGCAAAGATTTAAATAGATAGATGCGCCTTCACCTTGAAAACTGTGGCATTATTTTTGGATGTGTTCGTTTGCAAGACGCTGACGCGCGCACACTAATGCAATAGTGTCATCTCTTATTATCTTATAGAAATTGTGTATACTACTTTCTCTGTCGCACAAATGAGCACTGATTGCGAATGAGTGAGGTCACTCATTGACACATTTCGGAGTGGACATACTGTGGTAAGGGCGCATCTAACTATTTAAATCTTTGTTTGTACGTAGTTATGTATCGAGAATGTTGCTGAAGCTATTTTAAAAGCAACACATATGTCTCGATGATATTTATTACTATTTAATTACAACAATTGATTAAAACTAATTCAGTACAATACTGACTTCCTTACCCTAATGTAATCATCTGCATTACTACGATGAGTACTATAATGAATATAATTTTAAATGCAACGGCTTTTATAGGATGGTCAGAACAAGTCTGTTGATTAACAAGTTGTTGAGATTGTATGTTAGAAAAATATTCCATTTTATATAAATTGTTGGAATTAACATATTTTAACGCTTTTTAACAGGATTCTGTTTTGATGGCAAGTCTACCACCTACATTATATAAACAAATTTTAGATTCCCTAAGTCAGCATTCATCATTGGACATGCTTGTCAAAAGAATGTATGTGTCAAAGAATTAGTATGCTAGTGAAAACGGTAACAAGTGCTTAGTAAATCCAATAATTTCCATTTTCCCAGTATGCTATCACTTTAGGTATAAATAATGTATTATATTTGATTTCAGCGGGAAATATCCTAGATGTCTAGAATGAAATATTGCATTGGAAATAGATATTGCATTATGAAACTGATACCGTCTGTTCGTTACGTAATAGTATAACGTAATTAACGTACTATAATTTTTTAATTATTAATTATTGAATTAATTACATTTAGTAATATGAGTTAACTGTAGTCTATACCACTACTTACATTTTTATCGTTTTACAGTTTTTTTTCATAAATGAATGACGCTGAATACATTATGCTAACAAATTCATTGCATGGGTATTTATATGGAAATTTATAATAATAATTTATTAGACTCTCAGTTCGACAAATTACGTTTATGAATTATATCTATTTTAAATTACAAACCTATATATCAAAGAAGTAAGCATTAACGGCCATACTAATATAAACTGTGTTACAGCTGTCAGCATCTTCCACCCTCAGTGGTACAAAATAATTTAAAAAAAAGCTTATCATTTCGCTATACAATACACAAAAAACAAAAAGTTAATAGTATAATAATAATTAAGTAGACTTGCAACGAATATTATACACACGTTATACAGTCGTGTGTTCGTGTGTATAATATTCGTTGCGATTCGTCCACACGCCGAATACCGAATAATCTGCGGGCTTCCTTGGCCGAATAGCCGAATATTAGGCAAACCGAATACCGAATATTCTGCGGGCTTCCTTGGCCAAATAGCCGAATATTAGGCAAAAATAGTCGGCCGGGAAGGAAATAGTATCTATACAGAGCGTCTTTTCTCTGAAACTAGCATTGCATACGAGAAGAAAAGGAGTAAACAAATTACTGCCCGAAAATGCACAAAAAATTTCTCTTTCTGCATTATAATATTCCACTTCTAAATTTAAATTACGATAATTCAAATGCATAGACATTTATTTCATAGTTTTTTTTTTGTTATTTTTTAAAATACGGAAGTTTATGATATAACGAATGATTACAAGAAAAATACATTATTATGAAATAAATGAGTATTTTCATTTTACCAATACTACAACAAAACATTTTACTTCGGTATTCGGCCGAATAGTGCCTAGATATTCGGTATTCGACTGAATAGGGCAAAAGTAGCTGAATAGGCCGAATACCCGAATATTCGTTGTAAGAAAGAAAATCATATTCAGAAAATTTTGTATTTACTACTCCCTATCAGATAAATCAGAACGTTTACGTACTCGTTAAAGAATCGTGTTGCCACCCCTGAAGACTAGATAAAATGCCTTGTTAACTTGTTATAATACAATTGTACAACAAAATATTTTGGCTCGTGATTTGGTTCCACCGATTATCGATGAATGATACTAATAAGTCTAGAGTAATAGAATAAGTCGATCGCCTGCCAAGACAGTGTTTTTTCTCCATTTGTACACTAGTGCTCCAGAAGTAGGGTAAAGTTTTTGAATGTATGTATGTGCGTATGTCTATTTCTTTGGTACGTTCTACAGGAGTTCTACGGGATGTCATTCCATTCGTCTTTATTGTGATATCGACATGGGGTATAAATATTTGAATTTTATTCCTTTTCAATAAACTTAGTACGCATTCAGTTGCTTTAAATTGTTTAGCCATAGGACTCTTATTCCTCTACAAATTAATAGTTTACTTATTGTTTTTACGTATGACTCACGCTAGACCGTGTCGGGTCCGAGCCGAGTGTCGGCCGTAGCACGGTCAACTAATATTTTTACATATATTTTGTGTGGATGCGCTTACGCTATACCGAACGGCCACCGAGTGACGGCCGAGCAACGGACAACGGTCGGCAATAACTCGGTCCCGGCTTGTAGTTGAAGATTTATCAGATTCTTCGTCGTCCAGAGCGATCGCAATAGCCGCTAATTCCAGATCATCAAACTTCATCATAATTGTAGTCCAGTTATAACACAATTTTTGCTCGGACGAGTATACTGCATCACGGCGCAACGGTAATTGCTCGGTCGAGGCTCGTGCTTGTAATTTCAGGCACGGGACCGGCTCGGTGACCGTGCTACGGCCTACACTCGGTTCGGACCTGACTCGGTCTAGCGTGAGTCAATCTTTAGAACGTGAAATTGTAATCTCTCATACATTTTTAATTTATTAAGTAATATAAACTTCCAGTTACGAGGTTCAAGTAGAAGCCGAGGGCCGAAGACGAGGCTTGGGACAACGAGTACTGAAAGTGTTAGAGAAACTGGCGCACTCTACACGTATGCGCTGCGTTCGGCTGACGGCGCTAACACACAATCCCTCCGCGGTGGCTTTCTTCAAAGCTTGCGGGTTTGTTAATAAATAACGCGTATATACATATTATTTGCAATCACTTCATACTCCTTACATAAATTCGCATATTTATCCTCGCTCGCATTCATACTTCCTATTAGACATGTGTCAATCATGAATGATTCGTTCGTTTGAGCTGGTACACTTAAAAGTATTGATGGTTCATTGATCTGTTTTTAAATGTTCCGGTACAACCAATCACAAACAATTGACGTAATCTTTTTAACTCGTGATTGGTGTGAATTATGAATGAACCGAAAACTGACCGAATACCGAATGATCTTGAATTGTTTTTAGTGTTGATACTGGAACCCGAAATGATCAATTTGAATGATCGATCATGAATGATTGACACGTCTTCTGCCTATTCACTTGGCAACTCCTCTTATCAAAAGGAATGAATTATGTGACTACATTGTGAGTTGTTAGATTTTATTATTCACGTGCGATAAAATTTAAAACGATCGTTTTTCCCTAAATTCTGTATTCCTTTATTCTTCAACAGCCTTAAGTCAACCCGTTTCTCTCCCACTACATTATGCTATGAAATGAAATGAAAAATAGAAATCATGTAAATCGTTAATATGCAGCAGGAAGAAAGTTGCGGATAGAACGGACCCCTGGGGAACTCCGTCGTTCGTCGTGATAGGATTTGACTAGCTCGTCCATTTATTCAAGTCAAGTTTAGTCAAGACAACCAATAACAAAAAAAAGCTGACTAGTAACTATATTTTATAACAATCCAAATGTATCCGAACGTTTATAGTCTCTAGACATAATTATGTTTAACCTATAGCACAATTTGTCAATAGGCATGTGTAGTAATAATTGTGACTGGGGTGTTGTGCTTAAAAAAAGAAAATGACCCTTCTTCAACACCAGGAAATAAACATTTACATTTAAACAAGAAGAAAAAACATATGGTCGTGGTGGGCGTGGCTCTGCGTGGTCCGAGTTACTTCGGCCAGGTAAAGGGTTCCAAACGAAGTTGAAGGTTATGAAGTGGTAAATTTTACTGAAGCTCGTAGGTCGAGCCTTGGACCCCGATACGGGTTGGCGTTAGAACTTAGTCTTTAGAATGTTATTATGTCATTTAAATTTAAAATGTTATTGCCTATAATGATGATAGGTGAGCGTGCAGAATCCCGAAGAGGTTACGATAAAGCGTACGTATAATCACTCAAGCAGAGCGTTGAATTGCGCTAATCGCAATTCTCAATACATAAGCACGGGTGTAATGTCATTCGATTTACGTCACACGACCGGGGATCGAAGGAAACCTACACTCGGCACAGTCTAGCGCATCGGTTCTCGTTCAACTTAAAAAAGGACTGTATATTGAGCTATAGAAAGCAATAGATACTTTAAAATTAATCTAATTCTTAATAAATACATGTATGTATATAAGTTTTAAAAAAAAAACTACACCGGTGCATAGTTCCACAGCAACGGGAACACATGTGATAGGGACACATGGTACAGTATAAAGGTAGTTTATATCGAAACTTGTTGCTGGTATTTCAAAACTACTAGAACTGTTATTTCAGTAAAACAGAAACAGGTGGAATAAGTTTCTTACTTTAGTTAGTATAGCCTTCACCTACTTCTTAAAGATAGTAATATAAACTTCCCTTTAAAAATGGACGTAAAATAACCCAATTCGGCGACAGAGAGCGGCGTCAGGGGTGCTAGACGTACCAGTACCTACGTTTCTTTAACCTCGATCACCAAACCACTTGCCAAGCGTACTGATTACGCCAAATCCTTTCTGCAATGATGGAGGTCCATGTCAAATTTTAAGGATCGATAAAGACACGAAAAGAAGTATAAAAAATTATTCTGAAATTTAAATCGTAACCAGTCAGCAATGCGGTTTAAAATTACTTAAAGCGTAACAAAAAATGTACCGCGCTGCTCCAAAGGATTTTCTTCATGTCCTTGAAACATTTTTTGATTATCAGTCATGCAGGTTCTCACGATGTTTTCCTACGCCGAGCACATGACACATTAGCAGCACAAGTTTTTATTAATATTTTATTAAACAAAACACAACACAAAACAAGGAAATAAATTGCAATGTATTTCTCCAGATACAGCCTGGATGAAACTAGCCCGCCTAAAGAAGAAGCGTCACACTATGAGATCCTAAGCAAGACGACAATTCAAGATGGCTCAGTTGGCGATACGCCGCAAACAGTTGGAGACAATTTGGAACAAATGGTGATATCCTAGCACCTGTTTCATTGAACATTACAGTAATGACTAAGGTTAAAACATTAGAAAATCAGCTCCTTTTTCATCCTCTAACGTTCCTTACTAATTTTGTAGACAAAATATTACACTCGTTAGTAATGAATTAAGAATAACATAAATTTTTTTCTTAATAGAATTTTTGTTTGAATTTCTTAGCATGTATATTCTTTGAGTAATTACTTGTTGGCAAACTTTTATAATTTTTTAAGAACAATCACTGCACATAGTGATTATAATTATACTCTTGTATAATCTACTGTATGACGACAGACTTATGTGTTTGATATTGGAAATGAAAACGTAAACAATGATTTATTTTATTTTATGTATTTTACACATTAAATTAAATTTAGCTCTCTGTACTCCTTCTTAGAAACTAGCTAGGTATATCCATTTTACACTCCTCCGTGCGCGCAATATGCTTGAAAAGGGGCACAAAGTATTCCCTTTTTAGGTAGTCATATATAAATAAAACAGTGTAATATAAAAATTGTAACTAAAATACTCACTTAAAGAAACAACCGTGTGTACATTTAAGTACCTAGTTAAACACTAATGAAATATTTATATGCTAACAAAACGCAAAGCAATATCGAATGTTTGGAAATTTTTTATATAATTTAATAATATTATATAATTTACATATTTAAGTATATTATTTTGGACCTTGTTGTTACGTGAGAATAATTAATTACATTTGTATGAGTTTTAATTAATTAATTAAACGCGATAGAATCCGTAAATTTAGTTTTATTCAAGGGGGGGATTTTTTCAAAGAAAAGAGCAAATGAGCATGAAGCGGCTCACCAGATTGTGTCGACCGCCGGTCATGAACAAATGGAACACCAGGAATTGCAGGTGCGTTGCCGGCCTTTTAAAAGAAAAGAAGTAAGGCTCATTTCTTGAAGGTCCCTAAGTCGTATCGTTTAAATTAAAGACATTATAAACTTTTTACTTGGAAGACTGCTGCTTATCTTCCGGATTGTTTCCCTCTATCTCCTCTTACGACACTCATGAGAAGAGGTATAGGTTAGTGGATATTCTTATATCGGAACTTCTTGGTAACTTACTATTATATATTTTTATTGCCTGTAACGAATTATACACAGATCATAGCATTAAAGTAAAGTCTTGCGGCAATTATATAATCGACTTTTTAAATTTACTTGTAATTCGGTGGGCACTCTTAATTATTTGTTTTCTTTTGATTTTTTGTATTTAAATCAAAAGTACTCACTGAATAAAAATATTTCTTTTACTGAATTCATCGTGTTTAATTGTAGCTTGAATGAACTTAAACTGTATATGAGGAACTAGTGAGAAAGCAAATTTATGCCGCGGAAGTGAGAGGCATAGTCGGCAATGGGCGTCCTTAGACGGAACCAAATTAGCGATATCACAGATTAAATGTTACCATGTAATGTGGGCTCCAGACTCCTGTGTGATTCACGGCGTGAATTCACGCCGTAATTTTGTCGCGAAAACGTCGCGAAAAACATATCCCTCCACATTCACAATTGTTCACAGTTTAGTTCGCGCGCTCGTCGAGAATGGTCGCTGAAATATGCACTGCTATCGCCGTGACGCTATGCGCTTTAGCTCACGACAATTATGTGTATATAAAAGATAAAAAAACCGTATTTGTATTTTTTTTTACAATTATCGCTTTCTCCTAGAAAAGCATCGATCACGTCAAAAGCAATCCAAATGGGCTTGTAAATTTTGTCGCTGTTTGCTCCAGACTTCCTTTCAGAATCCTTCACCTTTTTCTTATAATTTGTATAACTGGACATTAGACTTTTTTTCAATCAGTCACTTCTACGCTTTTCGTGACAAAGCCATGCTGCAGTTATATTAGTAGTATAGCTTAATGCTGCTGTGTTTCGTATGGTGAGTGTAGAGAACCGGAGACCCTTTTTACTGGAAACGAGGCATTCCACCTTAGTCCTAACGGGTGACAACGCATCTGCATTTTGATTCGTAATCGAGTATAGATGTAGATGTCTATGGGCCACGGCATCCACATACCATCAGGTGGACTTTGTGCTTGTTTGTTACCCTATCCTATAAAATAAAATAAAATAATACTCATTATTTCCTTATTCGTATCCATGCGTCATGTACTTTCATTTTATTTTTATGATCTTTGTGTTTAGCATCCCATTAAATGGGTTCGGCATGATAACACTCGATCAACAAGAGTTCCTGCTCGTTCGTCCAACTGACGCTCATTTTTACGCGCCGTCCTACGTAAAAAAATACAAATAAGCACAACCTCACAGCAACGAGTCTCGCGGTCGCGCGTTACTGTTTTCACGCGCGAGTGTGGATGCGCTTGCGTTCACGCACGGGAGGTTCACACCTCGTAAACCCTTTAAAGCGGGCACAAAATGCCGACACAAAATGGGGAACAGAGCGTGAAAAGGCGCGAAGCCCGTGAACGGGCGCAAAAGCCATCCACATTCACGGTTCACGCCTTTCACAGGTGTTCACGGCGTGAATGTGGAGGGCGCTTCAGACACACATCACTCCCACACAAAAGCGAAAATACCTAAACAATAAAAGAATACAAAATTTTAATAATAATCCTAGACGTTAGCTGCAAGCAGAAATATACCTTCTGGACGCGTATCGGAAGTTGAGGACACGGATTGCCCACCGCGCAAGCGCGTGATGATAAAGATGATAAAATAAATATAAGACTACTAAAATAATTATATTATTAGTTTGACAATCAAATATGTTTCAGTTTTATAAAATAGTAAATAGATTTTTTCCTTCTCCGAATTATTTGTTTTTAAACTTAACCCCACTGATACTTGTTACTATCGGGAGTGATTCAAGGTCACGCGTGATTAATAGCTTAAAACATTTAAGCATGTACTTACCTATTTTATTCACGAAGTAATTAAAATTTGTTCGCGGTTGTTTCGATCCAATTTTTGGTAAGTTTGTATTGTATTATGTTTAATTTAGTTTTATTTGTTTTTCTTGTGTTTTCTCCCCAATTTAGGGAACCTAAATTTTAATTTTTTGTTTAGGATTGTCTCAGATAAAATTGATGTGACGTGACGTGATAAAAAATATTTACCACGTCAAAAGATATTTTCATTCATGATAATATGAATGAAAATCTTAATATATATATAAAGTACGTGTCACGTTGTTTGTCCGCGATGGACTCCTAAACTACTTAACCGATTTTAATCAAATTTGCACACCGTGTGCAGTTTGGTCCAACTTGAGAGATAGGACAGTTTTTTTTGCGAATTTAAGGATTTTTAACAGGACATGATAAAGGGTTGTCGAAAATACAGAACAAAGTCTACCTGGCAAGCCAGTATCTTTATATATTATGAGTATATGTTCAAGATCCCAACAATCTCATCAGATTTGATAGACCACAAGTCCTCGCAAAAGAACACTGATTCTACCAAGAACAGTCCGCGAGCTATTGAAATTAAAACATCCTGATTTAAATAGAGAAGATGGTCTACCATCTCATAATTTATTAAATTAAGTCTAAACCCAAGGAAACCACTGCAAGACTTAAAAGTATATTAATGCATCTCATGGGTGCTATATTCGTCCCAGAGATGGCAAAGACGTCTAATTTTCGCGGGTTCTGTAACAAAAAAGAGTCCGTCGCTCGTTTAATGCGTAGCCTTAGCGTAGCGCTACATACATGTCCTCCAAAATATTTTTAATTTTCCAGACATGTGGGCGTCCTCAGAACTTTTATATTAACGTATCGTCTATCCATTTGGCTTATAATCGTTTGTTGCTGTACATCTGAACAATGCAGAAGCTATAATCGTAGTTATATATCTTAAGACGTACGACTTAGTCTTTCTTTTCTCCTAGTAATTCTTAAATTGTTGACCTTGTCTCAAGAAACAGACGCGACTTTAGTAGAGTTTACATTTCTAGGGAGATAACAGCACTACGTAACGGTGTCTGCTGTACGGAGTCGGCTATATACAATAAATTACCCAAGTTGTTGAATGTAATAATATTTTGAGTGAGATCTCTCCATCTCACTCAAAATATCATTATTTCAGACAAGGCTACGAAACTTTTTAGCAGACAAAGTGTACTATAATATAAATTAATTTTACATTCGCATATTTATTTATAAATTGTATTTTTAATCCATAATGTTTTTAATTTGGCGACGATTTATAATAATGTACCAATTGACTTATTAAACTTACATAATTTGAATAGACATAATTTAATCTATTTTAATGTGTTGTAAACGACATAATATGTTTGTTACATAAATTGATAAAAAATGTAATCAATTATATTTTCATGCATTTTTTCATTGCATGCCTTCTGGTAAAATATGTACTATAATATATTTGTCACCATTATAGAAACAGAAACAGAAACTTTTTTATTCAATGTAGATTATAAACAATACTTATTGAAAGTCATTTTTTTCATTTACCACTGGTTCGCAAAAAAAAAACCTCTGTCCTGGGAAGAACCAGCAAGAAACCCAGCGGGACTATTTTTTTTTTTCAAATAATAGCTTACAATCATGTTTACAATTAACAACACAATACAAATTAGAAATAGCTTGGTAGCGATCACCCTTCCCAGGGGTTATTATCATCCATAAAAACAATAAAAAATAAAAATATAAATTTCTTCGCAACCTTCCGCCAAACAAATACAATGATGTGTCTTACCTGGATTGAAGAGCACCTCCCGCCCTCCCTTAATTGCATGCACTAACTCCGTCACCACTAACCCCAGCACCACTACTCCCAACACCAACACCATTAGCGGTCAGCCGCCGTAGAGTCTACATTACCTGAAGATGTCTAGTGTAGAGGCGAAACACGTGTCGTATTATCGTCGATGGTGTGTCTTGCCGGGAGTAGTGGTGCTGGGGTTAGTGGTGACGGAGTTAGTGCATGCAATTGAGGGAGGGCGGGAGGTGCTCTTCAATCAAGGTAAGACACATCATT